GGGGGGGGGTATTCCATTACAAAGATGGAAAAAGTCCTGAACTGGAATTTTTATTCATGCAAAAGTTTCAGGTGACTGTCTCGGAATGAGAAGCGAGTGTGGAGAGGCCTAACAGGTTCTTCTCTGGGTCAGGACTCACCCCTCTGCAAAATTTCATGGAAATCAGATCAGTAGTTTTTGAGAAATCACAGCAGACAATCAAATGTTTTAATGATTCCTACTGAACTTGATGCTGAATTAAAAACAAATGTGTGCAGTGATGTGAAAAATGTGCATCCGCTCATAGAAACAAATTTTTCTTTGTATGTGTGAGTCACTGTTGCATTCCTGCACCTGTCGGACTCTCTCTCTCTCTTTCTCTCTCTCTCTCTAAAGCAGCTGGTGATTTTAGTTTCTCTCATTTCCGAGTTCATGTTTGCGTTTTTATTCAAGTCAAACACAGTTACATCCTGTGGCAGAGAATGGACCATGTTGACACGATGTGTGTGTTTTGTGTTAGTGCTGCCACTGTGCTTGTGGCAGGGAGGGAAGGAGGGAAGGAGAGGAGATGGAGGGAGGTTTAGGAAAACACTCCAAATAAGGTCAAACTATTCCAGTCGTCCGTCAGCTCTCTGTCGTGCTGGATCTCTCTCGGCCCTCGTAAAACAAGTCACTCTTGTCCTTTACTCCCGTGCTTCGTTATCGGTTTTCCCTTTTAATTTTCTATTCTGAGTTTTCTCACTGCTGATCTGTGCGCTCTCGACTCGGCCGCTCCAAATGTTGTTTACGTTTGGAGCCTCGTTCTCATTTCTCCCTCTGGTATCCCGTCGCCGCTTGTAAATTTGCAGTATCATAGCCCACAGTAGCAGATGGAAATAGCACAGAGAGGAAGTATCTGCCAGCAGGGTATATGTGTGTGTGTATATACTGTATGTGTGTGTGTGTGTGTGTGTGCGCGCAGGCATGTGTGCAAGTACGTTGTCCTTGCACATTCTTGTGTTCCTTCCTTTTTTTTTTTTTTATTCAGCTTCAATTTCACAACCATATCTCCAGATAACTGAAAAACACTGCGGTTTCTAAGATACAAAGGAAGTTTAAACTCACACTCGCCTTGAGCAGTTTGTCCTCACACAGCCCGTCTGGGTTGAGTTCTGTATTAACAAAATGGAGTGAGACGCCTGCTCGTACTCGTCGGACACTTGTTTCTCTCTCGTCATCGTCGGTCTCTTAATAAATCACACAGATCCTGAATTGTTGTTTCTCACGCATGACCTTTGAGTAAAGTCTGGAAACACACATGCGTCTGTTTTCATCCTGAACGTGGTTCATTGAGTCGTCAACTCTTTTGCTGCGGCTGCAAGTTTATTAACATTCATTGTTCGGGTGATTTAAA